TTTAGATTTTAAGTTTCGAACGATTTTAATAAATATTAATCGAGTAAATAAATTTTTATTTACTGCCAGTTTTTTCCACCACTACTGTAACAATAAGCTTTTGAGCTTGAATGGCACTATTAAATTGTCTGAGAATTTTTTCCAAATCTGACGTTATGAAATGAAGATATGACCCCAAGACTTTGTCACCAATAAAATCAGTGATGATATTTTTCCCGCATTATTGAAATATTGATTTAAGAACTAAGATAGTCCAGGGCTTCTTCTCTGGCTTTTGCACTAAATATGCCTACCAGTTCCAGATATATTCATTAAGCCTTTCATCCCCATTACAGATTACGTTCTTTATATGCCAAAGAAATCAGATCCATAATTTCTTTATTAATTTCTAGCGTTAGCTTAGCAAAAAATCCTAGGAAAAGGTTAAAGAAATCTGTAGCTGGTTGAGGAACGTTTATGGGATATGGAAGGAAATCAAAATCTTTGTAAACTATTAGACCTTTAATAACTGCCTGGTCTATTAATAATTTTAACTTTACTGCATTACCCCATATTCAATTATTTTAATCTCAAACTTAGCAATCTTTAGCTCAGATCCTATATCAAAATAAAGCCCATTTTCAAATCTTTATGTTTTAATAACCATACTAGTTTATCTTTTGGAATATAAGCAACCATTGTCTAGATAGCTTCATAAACTTCAGTACAAGAGAATTTCTCACCTGAAGTTCACATACGTATTAAATTCAACTATACAAAATGATCATTCAGGTTTGAAATTCTAGATTGCTCTAATCTTACTAGAGCTGGAAGGTTTTTTCTCAGCTTAAAGCTGTCCCACTAGGAGCAAGTTTTATTGAAGGCTTTCTTTTCTTAGGTGATGTTTCCTGGTCTACACAGTAGCAGTGAAAACTATAAAATTTTTTATATCATCTGATATATGCATTTTTACTAGTATATTTTCGGTCATATAATGAACAATATGATGAGGCTAAACGTTTGAGATAAAAGATGTCAGGAGAATCATCTAATGGAAATGAAAGGTCGAATCCTTCAATATTAGCTTCTCTGAGTAATTTTTTAACCAATTCTAATTCGACTTCTGTTACATTAATGCCTATACTAGTATGACATATACTTTCTGACTCCAGAACAGCTAAGAGAGGACTATTCTCGATGACTTCTGATTCATTATTGGGTGGGCGAATCATAAAGTCAAAGATAGATCCATCTTTTGAATGTATAGCTTTTTTATTTGCATGTGAGTGTTAGTTTTTTCATTAAACTTAGATGTTCCAAGCATTTACAAGGAGAATGATTATTTATTTGCTATGTTATCAATAATACTATTCTCCTGAAGAGATGCTAGAAGTTTTTTATGAACAAGTTTAGTGAATTTTGCAACCTGAGCGATGTTTGGAAGTCTCATATCGAAAGTTGAGATATGGTGAGATATTTTTTTCACATCACTACTATTGGCAATAGATATAGTTTTTTTATCCCATTTTGAGAATACTTCTAGACAAACATCTCTAAAAGCATTACAAAGTATGTTTTTAGAGGATCCCTAAATATACTATGATAGAACCCTATCGTATATTTTTGAAATTTTTGAAAAATTTTGTCATACTACAATACGAATTTTCTTTTTAGATAGTTACGTGTAGCAATTTTTGTCGTACACTCAATAGTCTACAAGAAAAAAAATTTGTCATGCACTTAATTTGCAGTAAAAAGATTAATTGTACATCTATCTTATAATAAAAAAAGATTTGTTGTACACTTTTAACTGAATCGGGAATTATTATTATAAATTTGTCGTATACTACGAATCTAATGCAATTAATGCATTGATCATCAAATTTTCCTTTTGAATTTGAATTTTTTTTTAATTGGTGTAGCATTTGATAATCAAAAAATTTTTTTAAGACATTTTTATATAAATGAAAAAATTATAAAAGGATGACTAATTGTATTTCAAAAACTTTTTGCTTCGCAAATTTTTAATTATTCTATTAAAAAAAATTGCTTTCATTTTTATTACTAGTTAAAAAAAATCATTTGATGAGGTATAGAATACGGGGAAATTCTTTTTTTGTAATGGTGGTTTTATAATTTCTATAATTATTAAATTCAGTCAGAATGTACACAATTGATTTGCTAATATAATTACATTATTTTACCTTTCTATAGATATTTAAATAGAACCTTCACAACTTTTAATAATTGCAATTAGGGGAACAGCATAATTTTATTACATAATATTCGCTTGATCAATCTTGCAACTGGATTGAATCTTATCTAATTTTAGTAATATGTCAAGCGTGAGCTTGGAAAATCTCTAAGTTAAAATAATAAAATGGGGTGTTTAATCGATCAGTAATTGGTTGGAAAATGTTTTAACAATCAATTAAATTTTTTAATTTATAAAAACTTTTTGATTTTAAAACACACTTCAAACAAAACTTTTTTTATCATACCTGATTAAACAAACATGAATAGAGGATCTTCTTCAAACACAAAGTTAAATAAAAAAACATTTGTTCAGTTCAAACTCCATTTTCCTGAAACTACAAGACCTACTGCAAGTAAAGAAAAAGGGAAGTGTGTAAGCCACCGTTCAGTTGTACCTGAAAAAAGAAAAGATTCAGGTTTAGATATTACTCATAATAAAGCAGATATTTCAAAACAAAAAAAAGTGATATAATGTTTGATGAAAATTTTGAAAAACTAGACGAAAAGCATGTTTATTGCTATTACTGTGATATGGGAAAATCTATCACTTTATATCGACCTAATAATAGTGATCACTTATTAACTCATATTAATACTGCACTGCATACTAATAATAAAGTGGAGGCTGACAAAAGGGTGAATAAAAAACTGCGAACAACTTTTATTTCTCAATATGTTACCGATGATGATAATTATAATAGTGATTATGATGCTAATGATTTGCAATGCAAAGATAATAGCAATTCGCAATATAAAGGTAATAATATTTTCTTTAAAATATTGCAAATTATTATATATATTAATTAATACATAATTATTTTAAAAATTAGTTTGTAATGGATTTTTTTCTTATAATTATGCTGTATTAGCCAAGTATGAGACCAAAGGCAAAATTTATCAAATTTTATGAAATGATGCTCTTTTTGATGGTAACGAAAAGGCTGAGAGATACTTTAAACATTACAATTGCATGGGAAAAACTCGTTCTCAGTTTTGTTCACAATGTGCATCTTTGGCTTCTAATAAAGCTTTCAACAAACATAATCATCATATGCAAATTCTTATTATTCAAATTGATTGTTTGTTCCTTCTTAAAGAAGGATAGGTAATTTCTCAAAGTATATATAATCAGTTTAATCATGATTCAGATTGTAAATGGCTTGATATGAATTTTAATCAGCTTAATCAAGTTGTCATAAATACCATCAAATACCGATCTGGATCAACCACATCTGATGCTCTTAAAAATCTTTTAAATTATATTTCTCTTGAACTTAAGAATAATTCTTATCATTTACTTGTCAAATCATATCCAGCACTTGGTCAAATTATTGAAGCTGTTGAAGCAAATGGACTTAAAGATTGGATTGAAAGATGTACAACTTTTATGATAAACAAAACTATGGATGAACAACAACCAGTATTTGTTGGCATGGCACGAGCAGTTACCAAAGTTCTTGATAAGATAGAGTATGAAGTAACCTCAATACGTGGAATTAGGCAATATAATGAAAGTTTTGTAGATTTTCTTATTGTATTAATTTCAATAAGTACATTATCAGTTCGATAGATTACTACAAATTTAGCTGGACCAACAATTCGATTTTTACATAAAAAATGGAATGAAAATGATGAATTTTATAACATTTATAGTATTAATCCTCATATATTTACAGAATTCATCAGAATTTAGCGATTAGCATATGATTATTATGGTCCAACTATATGTGCAAAAGATCAAATAAAGGTTGCTGAAATGATTGAATTTTGCAGAACACAGCAACAATGGGTGGGATCTGTTCCAATTGACAATTCAATGGTACCTCATTCAATGACCACTGAGGAGCTTCATACTAAAATTTCATCATTTAATAAAGCAACATATATTACAGTTTTTGCATTATCAGCTATTTTACCAGATATTCTACCATTAGTCTTAGCTATTATATCATCAAATCAAAAAGAAACTAAAAGTGATGTATTTTTTAAAAATAATACTATTTTGAAAGAATTAATAAAATCAAATGCTAAACCTATTGGTCTTTACTTTAATGATGCTGCTCATGATCAGGCTTGGATTGAAGAAACTTATAATAAAAATTCATTAGTTTATAATGATCTTGGTATTATAATGATAAATATGTTAATTATTACTGTTAGTATTATTTTATATATTTATTAATAACTATTTAATGATTTAGGATGATAAAACATTTTTTTCAAGAAAATTTCCTATTGAGATTAATCTATCTGACAATGGTCAACCTTTAATTAATGGAACTGATATTTTTCATTGTATTAAAAAAGGTAAAATTTATTTTAAAATTCTCACATTTTTCAACAATTTATAAATTATAATCACTAATTAATATAGGCCGAAATATGCATAATAGAGAAGCATAAGTTTGTCTAATTGGTAATTTTGTTATGTCAGCTGAACATCTTTGGTATCTTTGGTACTTAAAGGAATTATATGAAAGCAAATCGAGCTTAACAAATGAAGTATTGAATCCAAAAGATAAGCAGACTGATAAACTTGCCGAAAGATTTTTTTCTTCTAATGTATTAAAAGATATATAATTATTTTATTAATTTTTTTATTATTAATATATAATAGTAAATTAAGTCTAATTTGTCTGATTTTTAGCTATGGTTTAATATTCTATTGAATATAATAATGATTATTTTTATAGGGATGCTTTGTATCACTTTTTTGCAGGATTATTATTTGAATTATGGAAGTCACATACAATGGATCACTTAAATAGAATTAGATTTGCATTGGCAGCAACGATATTTTTTGCAATAACACGTAACTACTTAATATTAAATCAAAACCAGTGAAATTCTCAGAAATATGACATATCTTGGCAATCAAACGATAATTTTATCTATCTTGATACTACTTTAATTCTTCTAATTTATCAATTTCCAAATCATTATCCCGGAATGCTATTATGTCCTTGGCTTATTTCTATTGCCTTTTTGGAATATATATTTAATTATGCGTGACGAATTATAGAGGATTTTACTGTATTAGATTTCTTAATGATGAATGAAAAAGTAATTAAAACAATTTCAATCGAAATGAAAGGTAAGATATTTATTTAATATAAAAGAAATGGATTTATCATAAAATCCCGACAGTCAGAATTCTGATAATCCAAAATTCTGACACTTCTGGGTAGAATTATCCATAATGCAGGTTAGCTTGTCAGGATTTTGGATCTATCGGGATTTTGACTATCAGAATTTTGGACAGATTCAAAAAAATATATATAATTTAAAAAAAAACTAATTTTATTTTATTTTTAAGGTAATCTAATACGACCAGATAATAATGATGGATATAATATTCATCTTTTTACTACAAAGGATAAATTTCAAAGACTTTATCAGATTTGCCAAATGTATATGATATAGATTCTAATATGCTAAAAGTTTGTAAATAAATTTTAATTTAATTTAAACTCAGTATTGTGTATTTATTATTAATGAAAATTTAATAATTATTATAGGTTTCAAAGGCAATGAATTCTATATTAAAGAGTGTAGGAATCAATTATAAACAATCTGAATATGTTACAATTACAGTCACACCTCAATATAATGAAGTTGCCGCTCCAGCCGATCAGGACTTTGTTATAAGAATCTTCGTTATAGCGTTAACGAATTATTCGTTATAGTAGATGATTACTGATTTCATTACACAAATATA